ATGGTATTCAGCTTTGTTCGGGTATTTTCCCACGTCATTATAGTTATATATGTTATATAGTATATATAATAGTCATATAGACCTAGCATTTACAAGCATCTTGCATTACTAAAGATTATCCCATAAACTGCATTAGATAAGGAATTTGATATTTGGTAAATGCTATATCAATAGCAGCATTCAGATGTATCTCACAAATCTATCATAGCAGATCTTTGAAGGGACCAATATTCAATTTTCTTGCTAAATAACAATCAGGATGCAATTTTTTGTCTAATTTTTTTTTCTTTTGGATTTTTTATTTTAATCTCTTGAGTAAAATAAAAAAAAACGTTTAAAAAAACTAGGTTCTGTCTTCTAGCTGAGCAAATGCAAATTGTAGCCTGCCTCAGTTTTCCTAGTCAGCAAGATAATATTTTTATTGATCACTTCATTTGATCATCAACTCTATAACCTAAGTAAATTCTACAGTGAGAAACTAGATGAGCAAAAGCTAGGCCAAATATGCAGCTAATCAATTCAGCTCTAAGTAATTAATATTCATCAAGTCAGGTTCCTCAGTAATTACAGTTTTGTTATATACCCAGCATACTCAGCTGATGGAAAGCTACTTAATTTAACTCTCTTACATAAGGGTCCCCAACCCCAGTCTGTGGACCGACACTGGTCCACAGCATGCCAGAAACTGGCCCACACAAACAAGCGAAGCCCCATCAATTGCATGTAGGCATCAGACAAAATCATGTCTCCTCCAGTCCAGGGAAAAACCTCTTTCCAAGGAACCAGTCCCTGGTAGCCAAAATGTTGAGGGCCACTACACAGCTTTGTAATATAGATTAAACTGAGGGGTAAAGCAGGTTCAGTTTTTTTAAACAGTTTCATGACAGTGGAAAGTTAAAATCAAGTTTCTAATATTCTAACCCTTGAATAAAGTTTACATTACATTGACACTTTTGTAATATCAACAAAACAGTTATTGTACTTGAAATTCAGGTTTTGGAAAGCAGTAATTAGCAAGATTTTTCTGTGGAGTGATTAATGTAATTTATATTTGTAGTTAGCATAAGACAGCAAAATTAACTATTTTTTGTTTACCTATTTTATGTACTAATATAGAATGCTTCAGAATAACCTGTTAAGACAAGTTCCTTCTGAAGCACTTCAGAACCTACACTCTCTTCAGTCTCTGTAAGTATACACATATTTGTTATGTCAGCGTGTATTTTTTAGAGTTAATCCCAAAATATATTATTCAAACTATCTTCAGAACTGTAGCCTCCATTTGTGCTGACATATTTGAAGAGTGCTCAAGTGGCAGAAAGCTACGTTTGGATCTTCGCAGTTCTGACTATTTTCTGCATATAATAACAGGGAATATATAAACACAAGGAAATAATTGCGGCACTCCATTTTCTTCCTGGCCTTTTGTTTTGTTTTGGTTTTGTTCCTTTTCATTATAACAAAAAGGAAGATGTTTGTTCAATGTTTAGTCCAGCAATAGAGTTATCACTGGCAGATCTTTGCTACTTCAGTTCACAGAACCACACTGACTCCAATAACTTTGTTCAGCTGCCTCACTTTATAGATGTGGCTTCTGTGCCCCAATGCAATACCTAGAAAGGGGTGACCATTTTACTGGGCCCTATGAAATGGAGGCTTTATTTAAGTAGTATATTAGGGTTTTGTGCAGGCTAAATAAACAACAGCTGAGTCTAGAAAACATCAGAGAGATGGGGAGAGATGGGGGAGGGGAGGAGATTTGTTTGGGCACCACTTGCAGAAGAATCCTATTATATCTCTTCTTTGACTTTTCTAATGGTGGCATTTCTGCCACAGACAGGGCTGGGTAGGATACAAAATTGGAGGTAATGCATGCATGACATCAGATCCAAGTATGTAAATCATGGAATTTGCAGTGTGATATTGCCTTATGTTTTGTCATTGCCCCCTTGTGACCACTACAGATGCCTATACATGTACAATTTTAATAAATTTTATTTCCAAAGTTAAAATGCAAACTTCAACAGAAAAAAGGAAACAAAAACAAAGCAAAACTAAGTGCCCCCAAGTTGAACACTATAATAAATATATTTCAAAAATAATAGTTCCTCCCCACAAAACAGCTCTATAATTTATAATCTTCTACAACATTATTTGCTCTGCTAATTTGACCTACCATCTATCTACTCTTAAAAAACATTTAACAAATAAACCCAACACAAAACAAAACTTGAAAGCCCTCTGTTAACAATCTATTATTGTATTTCACAATACAATATGCAATAAGTTTTTTAAATCAATGCTGCTTTCAGCCTTCTCCTACAAGCCTGCAGTTCTCAAACAAATTTCCTTCTCCTTCAATTCTATCAGCCTCAAATTGACTTCCAATCCACCCAGAGGTGGTATTCTTCTAGAGAACCATCAGCAGAAATTTTTAATAGTTTGGAGAATCAGCAAATACCACCATTGACTGACCCAGCCCCCATCTATTCTCTGCTGAATCCCAGCTGATCGGCTGGGTCTTCTTTTGTTGCCCTACACAGGAAAATGGAGCTGGAAAGCAGGTTAATGGGGTAGGGAGGGAATGGGGATTTTACAGTAACCTTCCCCCGCCATGCCCACCAAGCCATGCCCACAGAACCAGTAGTAAAAAAATTTGAATCCCGCCACTGAATCCACCCAATTTTAAGAATGATTTAGCTGCTGTTACCTGTATCCAAATGTCATCCTTAGGTTGATTTATAACTGTCGTTAAATCATTGAACCTTTTATTGAAATTTTCATTTAGAGTGTATAATTTGAAAAGCACTTTCTTTTCAGACGCTTTGACATTAATTTGATGTGGCTCTAGCCTTTCTTTTATGTCTCTTTTTGTGCGCATTGTAAATAGTACATAATGTACAGTATAATGTTCAATATCCCTAATTTATTGTTATTTTCATTTTTAAATTTGTTTTATAGCCAAACTTTCACAACCTAACACAGACAAGTCCTCTCGAGGACAAAAGAAGTAGATGTTCCATAACAAAATGACCACAGGAAAAACTAAAATAATATTTCCCATGATAGAGAGTAAACAGAAAAGAAAGGGAAAATTCTCTCTTTAGAAAAAAAGAAAAGAAAAAAGACCAGAGATATATACAAAAGAAAAATAAAATGGCAAAGTTCTTTTAAAAGCTAGTAAAATACAAAATACTTGCAGTAGAAATCTGATGCAAATGTAAATGAAATTACTTTCATTACCAAGGAGAAAGTCTTTGCACCATTGATGTCCATGTGGCAAAAGCAAAAATGTTTCATAACTCCAAAGCAAAGAAGTAAAATCAGGTAAAATTTACATTTTATGTCCAGCAAAGGGGTATAAAATCAATCAGCATTCAACTAGACAATGAATTAAAGATGTAAGTTAAAATTTAAAAAAATAAAAAAATTCAAAAGCTGATGTTTAAAACCTGAAAAAAACACAACCAGTGACAGGAAAAGATAGAGACCCAATCCTCTAACCACTCTTACCAAGAATTGCAATTATTTAGATTTTTCCTCCCTGGCAAGTACATGGTCATCTGAGGATCATCTTGGGTCATTCCTAGTTTTCCCATTCAAATCTGGGGAGCCCACTGTCAAAGGACCGCCTTTAGCAACAAAGTCAACTGTTTGTTGGAGGAGAAAAAAAATAATCCTGGTGCTCAGCCATTTTTTAGAAAGCTCCTACTTTTAAATTTTTAAATCATCAAATTGAAAATAATATGTGTAATTATTTTATTATTTTATTTCTGAGTTTAGAAAATCATTCTTTTACATTTAAAATAACTGAATGGCTAAAAATCAGTTATGCATGTTTACATGTGATGTTGATCATTTATGACAGTAAACTTCAAAGTCTGGTGTTAGAAGAAAATGGACTGTAATGGATTGACAGTTCATATAAACAATGGGTCCTTTATTGAGGCAGAGATACTTAAAGCTTCAATTCCATTTCTAAATAACTATCTCACTGTCCTTTATTCTTGGTTTAAATATCTTTCCAAAAGGTAGGAAAGGTAAATAAGTAAGAAAACAGAGGAGTTGGGAACCCTAGCTAAGCACTGGTGTTTGGTAACAGAATTAAAATAAAAAGAGAATGAGAGTGGTCAGCAGGAACTTTAAACAGCTGTGGATCAGGCTGTAGATAAAGTGATACATTCATGTGCAGAATAACTACTATCCATTTGAAAGAAGATAGTGGGCAAATGCAACCTCTTCAACAAAAAGAATTAGAACAATTTATTTTGTTGTAAATGAGCCTGAATCTGTTGAGATTCAGTTTCTTGTTCTGTATAGCCTAGTAATTTTCTTTCTATAGTTTGCTTCTAGTCTTGGTTTTCTATTTAAAAAGTAATTCAAACATTTGTTCCTCTTTTTTAATTTTCAACTTTGAAACTATGGGGGGGGGGGAGCAGTTGTATAAAAGGTAATTAGATCAGTTTACAAAATAAAATTTCTTCAAGAAATTACAAACTTCATAATTAGCATTAATTTGATGTGAATATTGTTAACCACTTTATCTAATTTAGTGATAAATAAATGAATTTACTGATGTCTAGCTAATCTTACTGCTCTTCTACAGATTGCACACTGTTCTGTAAATACATCTGATATTTTTCCCTGAAACTATTCACTTCCAAATTCATTTGTTGTATAGCATGAAATAAAATGTTTTTATACCCTGAACTTTTCCAACTTCAGACTGCTGTAATGCTATTGTTGTAGGAGTATGCAGTCATCAAGTAATACATCTTAACAGATTGTTGGTGGTAGCTGCATAGATCCTGCATCTAGTAAAAATAAGAGCAGTGTGCATGTAAAAGCCCAGGCCTCTTGATGCTCTCTCGAAGAATTTTGCTTAATGTGGTATATGCAATGGCTGTCAAACTAATTGTTTATTTTCATTCAGTCTGCAGCCCAGTCTACAAAGAATTGTAATTAGTTATCATATGTTTACTAGTCTGCTTATTGTCTTTTAACTAAAATGAAACATGGCTTAAAAAAGCATTCTAAAGCAATAAGCATACTTTCTTTGCTCTTGACGTAATTTGTATGTTTTAAGACCAAAATTTTGGTAATTTCTTCCAACAATAATAAATGTGTGTTCTTATAAACAAAAGACTCTCTGGGCAACATGTCAAAAAATCAACATACCAGTTGTAGCAGCACCTTTTGTCTTGGTGTGCAACATTTATGCATGTACAAAAGGAGGAGCACTTGTGTTACACTGCCACAACAAGCCATCTTGACTTTTTTTTTAACCTTCGAGGAGACTGCAAGTTACTTTCATTTCATTTCATATTTGAGTCATATTACTGCATCACAGGAGTCTTACAACTCAACAGAACATGAAGAGATTAATACATATTTAATGTTATTTCTTAATGAAAATGAAAATAATTTAAATGTCTAGTATTGTTTTCAGTATTATTTTCTTGTGCCTGCATAGCTCTGTTCCATCTTCATCTTCAGACTGTATTAACATACTATCAAAAAAGAGCCATAGTTATTATGGAAATTTTGTGTTATGGTCACTGCCATAGCATTTAGGGTATACCGCCAGATTCCATAGCTATAATCTTTAGTGGGTTTATGACACATTTTGTTTCTGCTTGTACCAAATGAGGGAATAAATAAACTTTTTTTCTGTTACTGTAGTCAAAGCAGAAGAAACTAAGATTCTTAAAATAAAATTTACATCTATGAAATGAAAATATGTATTTTTCTTATTTGTGTCTAGTTAAATGCATAAAACATTTGCTCATTAGTGAAAGAAATATTTATCAGACATAGATAGAAAAATTTAATGACTTGGGCGATAGCTTCAGGGAGAGTTTTCAAAAACCTTCTTAACTCTTTCCTCCTTCCCTCAAAAAGCGGCCCTGGCCCCAGGTTGTAGAGTAGAGGAATGGAAGCAAAAAGGAAAGAAAATACTTCTGCAGCTTTCCCCCTTGAACTGGAGAAAAAACCATTTATCTCCAAGCTACTGTACAGTAGAAACACGTGCAACAAAATGGGCCTATGCAAGCTTTAGCTGTCTGTCTGATTGCCTGTAGAAGGCAGTCTACAGTCTAGTCTTTAAGTCCTTAGCTGGGCTCTACAAGAAGTTAGACAGACACTTAAAGCTGACAAAGACCTAGCATCCCCCATTTTGCACAAGTTTC